GCAAGGAAATGCCCCCTGGTGCTGAGGACCGTCCTGTTGGGGATGCCTTCACTGGGCAGCCCAGCGGCGAAGGGCCCTTTGCATTCGTTGGGCCTTTCCTGCAGGCCAAATGCCCCAGCGTGCCTCCAGCCCCTTGCCTCGGGGCAGCCGTTCACGTGCCAGCGGGGCAGGGAGAGCTCCGGCGGGAAGCCCAAACCTGTTACAAGCCGGAGAGCCCGTGCGTGGGGGCAGCCGCACATCTGCAGCCGGTGCAGGGGGAGAGTCGCGGCGGCTGGTTCGCGCCACCCCGGGGAGGCCCGCATCAGGTCGTGGCTCTGTAAGGCCTGGGCTGTGACGACAGTTTGAAGCCCACCACAGCAAGGCACCCGAGGACCCCAGCTGGGAGCAGCGGCGTTGCTGGAGAAGCTGAAACCCTGGAAGCAACAGGAGCGCGACCGTGGAGCGAAGGCTGGTGGGGCTGGCACCGAGTGCATAGTGCAGCCCGAAGACAGCCCGCCTCTGCTCCAGCCGCCTTGCCTGTGCTGCAGGTAGCTCTGAGCCTTGCCAGTCGTTGCACGAAAGGCACCAGAGTCGAACCGGGCAACGTCTGCAGTCAGGAGACTGCAGGAGCACCATACAGGGGCCGGCAGCACAGGATGCAGAGAAGGCTCCAAGGGCGGGAATTTGTGGTGTCCACGCAGGCTGCAGTGACGGGGAGCTAAGAGGATCTTGGGCATTGGGGGGTGCTGCTCAGAACGGAGATCCTGTGGGTGGGCGGTGACTAATGGCAGCATCAGTCGTGAGACGGCTGGAAGCTGAGGGGAGCTCCCTGTGAAGGAGCACAGTGACCTTCCCACAGGCTCCTTCTCATTTCGAACCCGCTCCGCTGTGAAAGGGGATAAAACTGATGGGTTGGTAGGGAGACCCCGGACTCACCAACACGGCACGCTTCTGTATGGTACCTGGATGCAGAGACGGGAGAGCAAGCCTGAATGGTACAGCACAGTCCGTTGGGTCCCGGGTGCAGCCACTGACCTCCCTGGTGTGTGTGGAGGGGAGATGGCCCCGGGGAAACCTGTTTCCCACCCTGTAGTGATCCACGTTGAAGCAGTGCCTGGGTCTGGGGCAGAGGGATGGCTGAGGAGAGCTGTGCCCTCAGATTGCACGTGTGGTGCCAGCTGGAGAGGCATCCAGGAGTGGAGCGCACTCCAGCTGTCCCCCTCCATCTCTTGTCTTCAGGCCTTGGGTGCTTTTCAGCCTCTGACTGGACTCGGCAGGGAGAGGACGGGCTCTCGGCTGGAGCGTTCAGCCAGTCTCTGCTGAACCATAGGCGCTCAGTCTCCGAACAGCCCCAGGAGACGCAGGGCGGCAGCACTTTTATCCCGGCCTTGTCGCTCCAAAGTGCACTTCATTATGCGTGGGGCAAATGGGAGCATCGATGCACTTAACGCCACCCAAAGAGAAGGCTCTGCCTGCGGGTCTCGGTGCCAGCCGGGCGCTCCCCGCGAGGGTGGGTGCCCCTCCAGCATGAAGCATTAGGAGCAGCTCCCTGGCAGAGAGGCTTTATCCGTTCCTGTTTTTAAATAGGCACTTGCCCCGCCTGGGCAAAGGAGGCTGAGGGAGCGATGCACACACAGCTGCCTTTTGCTGGTTGTGTGTTTCCTCCTGTACTGTCAGCCCAGTTTCTTTGGGCCAGGCCCTGCTGACCGCCTCCAGCACAGCAATCATCAGCCGGAGAGCTAAGGCACCCGGGAGATCCTTGTAGCAGCGCTGTTAGCGTGTCAGCGATTGCACCCCTTGCCAGCTACACCCCGAGCTTTCAACTACAAATCCAGTGTCAAAGCTGTCCTGCCCTGCTGTGGTCTGCCTGGAATCCTGTGACCGTAGAACCGCGCTAGTCTCTTTCCATAACCAGCAACGGAGGAAGAGCTGAGAGCTGACACTTTCCACGGGGTGCCTGGAGAACCGCTGCTGTGGCACGGTGGAGCCCTGGACGTCGAGCAGGACCCCAGGGTGCTACGGTGATTCAAAAAGTCATCGCAAGGCCTGGTGCTGGGCACAGTTCAAGCTTCCCCGTGGGTGCAAAGGCCAGCTGGGGAGAAGGAAGACGGCATGCAGGAGCTGGTGAACTGACACGGGCCCTCTCCCACCTGGTGGGTGCCCCTTTATTCCCTCCCCAAACTGTCAGCGCACGTGTCCCAAAGCTTTGGCTGGGATGATGTAGTTGGGGCTGGTCCTGCTCTGAGCAGGGGGTTGTGGACTAGATGCGACTTCCCAAGGTCCCTTCCAACACTAAATTTCTATGATTCAATGTGTGGCTCGTGCCCCATGGACAGTGCACTGGCAGCATCATCCCTGCTACCCCCGAGCCGGGCTTCACGCAGCTTTCGGGTCCAGTCCCTGCAATTCTATTTTTTTTTTTTTGGAGTTGATATAAAATAAAAGCTTTCTGATGGCAGCAGGGAGTCTCTTCTTTCCTGGACCCTGAAAGCACATTGGCTTTCAGGGTCCAGGTTGGGGTGGGAACGGGCTTTGAAGCCTTTCACCTGAAAACCTCCCACTCTGGGGCAGGGGTGACCGGCAGCTTTCCTCTCATGTAAAAACCCAAAGGCTGAAGTGCCTTGAAAGGAGTCCCAGGTTAGTCCCTAGCTCTAGTGGATCCAGCGTACACCCAGCAAAGAGCCCCCCGGGTGCCCTGCAACTTGGGTCTGGCAGCCACTTCTCCAGCAGGAAAAGGCAGGGATTTGTGTGCTATTCCTGAGCTCGGCAAGTCCCCTGGGGCGCTCACTGCAGCTGACCGAAGGTCGCAAGCTGCAACGCGCATGGGGGTCTTCTCCACGGCGAGCGTGGCAGGAGCGTCCCGCTGTGGCCGGTCAGCGTTTGCAGGAGCTGGGGGAGCGCCTTCCCGTGCTGGTTATGCTGCCCTCCTTGCAGGAGGAAGAAGGGGGAGGATGGCATGGACTGCAGGGACAGCTCAGCCCCTCCTTGACTTGGGGATGCAAATAGCTGTGTCTGGCTCAGGTGGGGGTTCGGCCTTTGTGGCTGCTCACATCTGGGCTTCATGGGGGCTGCCGGCAGGTGGGCGAGGGGTGGGTGCCGACTGGCGCAGCGCTCTTGTGGTGCGGCCGGCGCTTCAAAGCATCCATCAGCTGCCAACACCACGTGCAGCCAAAAGGAGAGCCCCGGTGAGAGCTACGGCCAGGCCAGGGATCGCACCACCAGAAAAATACAGACAAGATCCTGCTGGAGGTGGTCACTGAGACACCAGCGCTCAGCAAGCGTATGGGCCCTGACCTCTGCCCCTCCCTGATAAGGACGTGACCGGCGGAGCCCAACGGGGTGGGAGAGCGGCCAGCAAAGCTGCCAGAAGAGAAGGTCCTCTGGCCCGGGCTGAGACGGTAACGGGCTGGACAGAGATTGGGCTTGGATGTTGGGATAAACTTTCTAACAGGGTGGCCGAGGCCTGGAACGGGCTGCATTAGGAGCAGGCACAAGAGCAATTTACCAGGAGGTCGAAGGGGACGTACGCTTTGTGAGTGTGTCAGGGTGTTTTTAAGCCTCCCCAGAGGCACTGGGTGTTGGCTACAGCTCAGACTGGTGACTTCGACTGCGCTGTGCCGGTTCTTCTGGTAGGAGCAAAGCCAGCGGGTCCTGGATAGAGGGTTTTACCCCTTTGCTCGGGGTCAGACCGGTGCTGTATGTGGAGTCGGGAAGGAATTGTACCCCATGGTCAGGTTGGTGCAGACTGGGGGGGTTTGCCTTCCTCGATAGCGGGGGCATAGCCCCCTACCCAGACCCTTTTGAGCATAATTTGACAACGTTTTACAGAAGCAGGACGCTGGGCTGCCGCGGTCTCCCTGCTTCCCCTGTGGCAGGTTTGGGTGTTAGGTCTGTGCTGTGTCAGGGTTGAGAGGAGTCTTACGTAGCGTTTAGATGATGGTTGCATGGGATGGTTTGGACAGGGACGATCCTGCCTCAGGGCTAGATGTGAACTCTGGAGCTCCCTTGCAGCCCCGCTTCTCTCTGACTCTACGCCCGCGTGCCCGCTCCTACCTCTGGTACGTGGAAGCTCCACCTCGGCGGTTAAATGCTCCTCTGCGACAGGTTAGACCGCCATCCCTCCGGTCTGGGGTGGATCCAGAGTGGGGGTGGAGGTGGGTGGGGGACGGTGGCACAGCTGCCCCCCGCTTCTGGACTGGAACCGCTGGGGGCTTTAAAGTCACCAGAAGCAGAAGAAAATCCTCCCCCTCCCCTCCTCCTGCCTCCATCCTTCACCTGCGCCAGCTGCTTTTCCCACTGTCGTGGACAGGGCAATCCTCAGCGCTGCTCCCGATGATTTCTGCGATGTCCACCTTGTTCCCTCCTGGCCCTTCCTTGGCCTTGCGTGTGTGGACACGGGGGGGCACTACCTGACACAGCTACAGAGAGCAGGACCCAGTCCCCCGGGCCACGGCTGCCAGTGGCTAGAGGTCCCTGAGTTTTGGGGGTGCTGATGTGGGTCAGCACTGGGTCAGGCTGGAGCCAGGAGAGGGGGCTGGGGACCCCCTGAAGCTCTGGGGGGGGTTTGCTCTGCTTTCTGGCAGCTTCTCAGGGCTATTCAACATCCCCTGCTCTGCAATACTTTTGACCGACTGCCCTGGACTGGGCTTGGGCATCTGGGTCCGTTCTGGCCACGCCGGCAGCTACGGTCACCCTATGTTTAGGGAGCAGCGCCTGTACTTGTTAGTTTAAAGCCAGCTCGGGTATACCTGCATGAGCTGTAGTCACACCTTTTGATCACAGCGTGAGCACCTAGTAAGTGGAAACTCGCAAAGAGGAGTTGTGACTTGCTATAATTGGCTTGCTGTGGTTCCCTGTGGTCACACAACACTTAGCATCACATGTGTTGTCTAATGGAAGTGCACGCTGTTTCGCACAACCCTAAGGTAGAGAAAAAATATGAAAGTCAAATTAAGTTTAATATAGACATATAACTATGCAAAGCATAATGCTCCAGTTTTGGAAGCTTGTTTGAAGGCTGGGCTATGGAAGTCAGTCAAACAACATCACCATTTCTGCCATTTTTTCCAAACAAAAACAAAGAGAAGTCCTGAAAAGAGGAAGCGTTAACATCCAAGAGTAACAGGCGGTGGCTGAAGCTCCCGATCCTGTCTCGGGATGGTCCGTTGCTCTCTAGACTGACATCGGAGATGGACGGTCTATCTTCCCTTGGTCTACACATCCAGAAAGCAGGTGTCACTTTGGGCTAATGTCATCTTCAGAGTTTAGTCTCTCCAAATGCAATGCAAACACGTAAAAGTACAGCTGAAACAAAAGAACAAAAATATTAATAAAGCTGCCTTAGCTTCAACTGACTCACCTCCTTGGATTTTCCTTAAACAATGGAAACTGGGGCAGGTTTTCTGGAGAAGTGTTGAGGAGATACCTCATCAATTCAGCTAATGAGCAAGACCAATGGACAGTGCAAAAGTGGCCTGTTCCTGTTATTTCCCTTGACTCAGAATGCACTTAAATTAATTCAGGAAAAAAGCCCAAAACATGACAAAATCTAGCAGCTGTTGCAGGCTGCATCAAACAGCAACACTCGCATCCCATCAGGATTCTCCAAAAGCTTTGTTTTAAAGTCCTGCAGGTATACACCCATGATTTAAGCATGTGCTATTTTCCAAGAGCACGAGTCAAAAAAATAAAACAACATAGGAGCTGGGGTTGAGATCGCACTTTTCAAATATGGACCGATTTGCTGCACATCAAAGATTCACACCAAACACCAATAGGACATGAAAGCACGCTCTAAATACATACACCCAGGAGCAGGGAGCATTTCCCCTCCTCTGTTCTCAATCTAGCATTTGGCAAAAAAACCCCAAAACAAAACAAAATCAAGCTTTAAGAATTTTCCAAGTGTGGTCACCACCATGCCCCTTTCATCTTGGTTTCATTTTCATTGTTAAAATAAGCTTCAGTGTTGATAGACATCCTCTTTTCTTCACGGAGAGTCTGACCTCGTGATAGGGTTTCGCTCTGAAGTCTGTGACCGCAGGGGGAGAAATTTTACTAGAACGGCTAGATGTTTTTTAAGTGTAAGCCTCCAGAAGTCATTTGACAGCCTATTTCAAGCTCCTGTGGAGAGGAATCATTACTATTTTAAATCTGAATAACTTAAATCTCAAATGTCAAATCTCAACTTTGCATCCAAGATCTGGACTTGGAAACTTTTAAGCTTTCCCTTCCTTCCCATTCCTATGAAGATGGCAAAACAAAACACAACCATCTAATAAATACCAGATTTTGGAAATATCCAAATTTGGTGGGAAAATTCTCCTTTTAAACAGACTTAACCCACACATTTTTCTTTGTTTGTAGGCTTGCTAGAATGGACAAAAAAAAATCTATATATAGTGTATATAGATATCTCTATATAGTGTATATATGCCTAGCAACTTTAGGCCCTGAGACTTTCAGTTTTACCAGTTCGTTGCCTTAAGTGTCAGAACATCATTCACAATGTACACGTCAATCCCTCGTTTCCCCTCCCGCGTTTTATAACAGCCTTACAAAATCCTGTACCTGGAGTGCCCTCTTATGCATGACATTTTTTACCAGTCTCTGCTCCCTCTGTGCAAAAATGAAGTTTATTTCCTACATACAGGGACTTTTTACTACCTGGAACTTTCCCTGAGCCTGATGAAGGGCACATGTGCCCGAAAGCTTGCAGAAAAAGGCTTTTTGGTTTGGTTTTTTTTGCAATTTCTCAGCTGGTCTAATAAAAGGTATCATTTTGGAACCAAGCGTGCTAGATTTTTGCATTTCTTTTTGTCTCACACCAGCATGGCTTCCACCTACATCCCATTTTCCCCCTTCATATATTTGCACTGACTTTTTTTCCATTTGGTTTGCTCACAAAAGCCTAACAGCGGGCGCTGACTGCCGTTTGATGCAGCTGGTGCCTCCATAGCTTTCAGGCTTATTCCTGCCCTGAGGTCCAGCTATTTTTTTTTCCTAGGACTTTATCCCTTGTCCTCGTGTCTGATCGGGAACCCGCCGTCACTGACTTTCCTGCTCCCTTCTGCTTGCTTGTTTGCATTTTTCAGGAGAAGACTCATTTTTCTTTTCGCCCCCACTCAGCTGTTTCTTCCGACTTTTCGACAGGATGAGTCTGCTCCTTCCACCTTTTCCAGCTTGGTTTCTTCATGATCTCCAGCTCCATCTGCAGCCACTTTGTCTTTTATTTTTACAATCAATAGCTGAACAGGTTCAGATTTTTTTTTTGGTCTTAGCTTGTTTTACAAATAAATTTGAATCTAATACATTTAAAATAACCCAACCTTTTGAAACGCAACATTGTTAGATTGTGGTTCGTGGGGTTTTTCCATCTCTTCTACTTCTGCCTCTGCCAATGGTAATCGTCCCCGAGCATCTTGAGCATCCATCTGTGCTTCTTTCACACCAGCTTCATCGGTTGTTTCTGATTGTGTAACCTCTGTTTTCAGCTTTCTCTTCTTTCCGAGTCACGTTTGTAGGTTCTCTTTGTCCAACTGTAAAAAAAAGTTTAAAAAAAAAGGGGGAAAAATATAAATGAGACGAACTGCATCGTAATTAACTGCTACATTTTATATTAAAAGCTGAAGACGGTGCATTTTTTCCGCTCTTAACACAAAAGGATCTGCATTTTAACAGGGTCTTACCAAATACAAATACCAGGTGGGCCTGAGGGTTTACCTGCTTGCATCCAAGAGAAGCAGCAGGACCATGTTTGTACAGCCCATTCGTATATCAATCGAACCCTTCAACAGGCTAACTAGTTTCATGATAAATGATTTTTGCAAGTATTTGTTTAAAAGATTTCATTATGTTAGCAGCAGGCTGATTATTTCTATATTTGCCACGTTAGTTGTCTGATGCGTTTTCATTTACTAGCCCGTGAAAACTAACAAGAGCAGAAACGATGCGTGTGTGAGCACACAGGTGTAAGACATCAGTTCGGATTTAAGAACAAAAATAAAAATACCCTCAACAAACAGCAGCAACCAAAACTAGTCAGGAGGATGCTGGGTGGGATTACAGACCTGTCAGTGCCACCAGGAAAGGGTAGTTATGGGTGAAAATAAATGGGCAGCCCTGAAAACCCATCGTGAGATCTTAAACTCAAACCACTGTGTTATTTTTAAACCACACCTAGCCTTTTCCCCTTTCCACGCAAACTATGGCTCGTATGGAAGCACTCTCTAAAGGTCAGATTCTGCCCTCATCGACACCAGCAGAAGTGCATTTATTTAAATCTCTTGAAGTTGCAGAACTGTAAAATAAGTTAGACGGACTTGGAGCACCCCCCCGTCTGTGCAGAGTAGCGCGTGCCGTAACAAAATAGGATGATTAGCCGGTTTGTCGTGGGAATTTGGATCGTGCCAGGGAAATTAAGAAGAATTACAGGTCAATTTGAATAATAAATCCTCCGTGCTGCCTCAGGGCTTCCAGCATTTCCCTGCAGGGAGTCTCCCCACTGGAATACTGTAGCTGTAACTGCTGAAAAGCGGCAGTTATACGGCTCTCTCTCGGGCAGGAACGAGGACTTCTTCATATTTACAGTATAGTTTTGTTCCGTCTATTGCCCACTAAAGTTTCTGTAGCGATATTCATTCATTTAAAAAAAATAAAGTGGAAGAATGAGTGAAAAGGAGATATGAACACTAAATGACAACCCCGACTCGGGAGACGGTGAGTGGAGTTGCAGCATCATAAATGGCTGCTGGGAAGAGAGAAGAAAGCAACTTTCCTTCCAAGGGTAAGTTACAATAATACACATTGAATTCATGGATACTTTGACATTTCCAGAAGTTATTTCGTGGAGGTTAAAGAACGGGCCTCGCGTAGTCCATTATAGCAGTGCAAAGTAGAACCACCCTACTTCGGTAAAACATTGACGCTCACTTTGGACTGATGTAAATATAGATTTCCGGAGACTGTTTGGGGCTGCAGATCATTGGGTCCAGCCCCCACAAATTATATATATTACAGAAGATATTGGAGGAATAGGCCCAATAAGGGCAACAGAAAAACTGGCATGGAGTGAAACCTTCAAAATTTGAAAAGTCTCAACACTGAGAGACTTATAAGGCAGTGAAGTGGGCTACATTTCCTGCAAGGCAAAACAAAAAAACAAAAAAAACCCCAACCTCTGTTGCAAAAGCCACCATAAAATTAAAGAATGAAAGTAATAATTAAAGCATAGGTCAGGTACTTAAAGTACTCAGCGAGTACTTTGCAGAGGGGCCAGAGGTGGGTCCTTGCTATCAGAAAAGGTCCAAGCACTAATGTTTTGCAGAGATATGCAAAGGACTTGTTGGCTGCATCCCCACGA